TCATAAAAATGTGGCAAGGGTTTGTCAGGAGAAGGGAATGTATGTCTGACCAGTGGCGATTATCTGTCACTACCCCTGGAGTGTTTCCATGGCCCGAAATCCAGACTGTGCTTGGTGCAAAGTATTGACTTTGAGTAGATCAATTTCCACTTGGCTAACTTCCTTACAAGCTTGCTTTGGCATAGGAAATTTGAAACAGGACAGTATTTATTAGAGCTGATGTATGCAGGGTACATTCGGTTGTAGTTTAGGCTGGTGTGTACCTGAAGAGGGAGGGACAGGTTCTTGTCCTGAATGAGGCATTGCCTATTTGGACCAGGAATGGCCTCAGGATCTGTTTAGTCTCTTCATCCTGAAAAGATATGGACTGGACTGGCCTGAAAAATTATACGCTCTTTGCGCAAGCAGAAAGCAGGGAGTGAAGTCATGATAACTTTACTCATTCCTGGAAAACATTTGAAATGGTTCTCATTTACCTGAGAAATGCATTTTGGAATTGTCACGGTGCAGCTTTTAGGTGGAAGCAGAGCAGACCAGCTCCTAGAAATGGGATCTAAAATAGAAGTGACAAACGTGAGACCTTTGCAGCATCCCGCTCCAGGGTCAGCGTCAGGTGGGGAGTCTGGCGGGGGCGGTCGCCCACCAAACCTCAGGGCAGCTCTCCTAAGGCGAGCTCGGGGAGGACGGAAGCTTCCCGCGGAGGAGAAGGGCAAAAGCTTGCTTGATCTTGACTTTCAGTACGGATACAGACCGTGAAAGCAGGGCCTCGAAAAGCTTGCTTGATCTTGACTTTCAGTACAGATACAGACCGTGAAAGCAGGGCCTTATGATTCTTCTGTCTTTTTGGGTTTTGCCCAAAACCCCAAACATCCCTAACTCACATTATGTTTACGCCTGTAAATTGTAATTGTTATTTTTCAGAAAGAGGTTTAGAACCATTAGAGCTGACAATGGCAAATGTGAAGCAAAATTTTTAAAAGGAATTAACAGTAATTAAGAGCAGATGCTGTTCTCTCTGATCTCATCTCATTTCATTTCTGACAGACTGTTTAGGCTTAGAGGAGGCAGTGTATAAGTTTGGATTGGTATTCTGCTGTATTGTAATTATACAGGAAGCGAAAACAAGATGATTCTGAAAGAGCAGGCAAAGTATTTGGAGGCTCTTACAACTGTGCCACTTGCTCTGCGTTTGCCTTTCAGACTTTCCTCCCTGGAACTCAGCAAATTCTAATTAACTTTTTTCTGAACCCACTTACAGAAACAAAAGTAATGTCCCTTAAAAAGAAAAAAAAAATAAAATAACGAGACTACTTTTTTTTTAGCAAATATTTGGATTGAAAATGTTGGATTTTAGAGATTTTTGATCTTCAGTCTTCAAAATGGGTGTTGATTTAAAACACTGGAGTTGCGTCAACAGTTGAGCCAATATGTCCATGCCATAATTTAAGTGCCTTCAGGAGGGAGAACTTAATAAAAGTTTCTTATAATTTCAGTCTGAAGATCTGTGGAAAAGTGTAGGAATAACTAGGATTATAGAAATAACTGTGTGGATTCTGAGTCTCATGGAAAACAGTGTTTGTAATTCTCCAATTCACTTGTCCTTGGACTCTGTTTTGGCCTGCACTTGGCATGCACAGACAAGGTGCAAATTTTAGCCATTTCTTAGCTTTTAGCCAGCTCTTAACTAAGAGGTTTCAGGGCTCAGCCTTGAGGGTGAAAGACGCTGAGTGATACATGCAAGTTCAGACTTAAATGTCATCTGATATGTGAGATAAACACGTAGATGCGGTCCCACCTCTGCTTGAAGTGGCGAGGTTGGGCACGAAGCTCTGACTCTACAGCAGGCGCAGGTTTTGCGTCTTGATCAAGCAGTGGTGAGTGAGCTATTGATCCTCCAATGTGCTTTAGGTTAGGAGAAGCAGATACTGTTTTTCCTCTTCCTGGCTGTTTCTTGAGAACAGAACTTGCTGTAGGAATTATGTTTCTGTTTGTCTGTTTCATCTACTTTGACATTTTTGTCTATATAAACCTCTCTTAATTTGTTTGCTTTATTGAATGGTTGCTAGCTATTAGGTTGCAGCACTCACCACTACTTCCCTGCTGTCTTTGCCAACCTAATTAGTGTTTTATTCCAAATGTGGCCTATTACCTGACTGTTGCATAGCTGAGATACTGTATTTTGTAAATAACAGCCTTTTTCTGTGGTTATTGCCACTTTCCAAAACACTGCATTAAGACAGAAAAAAAGTAGTATTTCATGTGTTCAAATTTAAGACACACAATGTAGGAATGTTCTGATTTCACACAACATTTTTGTATAGTATAACATCCAATATTTTTTACTGTAGGAGATATTATAAAAGTTCCCATTGCTATCAAGTTAAAGACTTTCCAGACAAACAGGCAGGACATTTAGGAAAGAGGCGACTTTTGGAGTTCAATAGTTAGGCCTATGTTGTTCAGCACAGTCATAAATTAGCTGGAAAAAAAGGCGTGAATAATGGTGGTAAAAATTATGGATGATATTAAGTTGACTAAGGTGATGAAGACAAGGGCAGACTGAAAAACTGTGCAGTCTTAGTCTCACTGTCTCTGAAAGAATACAGTTGAACTGGAAAATGCTCTGAGAAGGATGAGTTCAAAGGTGAACAAGATAACTTTCATGTGGGGAATGACTGAATATACTAAAAATGCTTGGAAAAGGGAGGAGTATCAGTGAGATGATACCCTAAGGAATGATGGTATCTTCCAATAAAATAATTAGGTGCATCAAATGAGAGTAAGAGCGGGTTTTTTTCCCAGAACAACAGGTGATTATTATTTACCTAGTGTTAACTTCTTACTGGACAGTACTATTTCCAGAGTATATAAAAAATGTGAAGTGAATTAAATACCTAAGTGGGTTCAAAAAGCACCTGGACAAACTTGGAGGAAAAAATGTTAAGTGATATTAAGCACAAAAAGACCACCTTTGGCTCTGGAAGTCCCTGAGCCACATACCACCGGAGCCTGAGAAAGCTTTCCGTAGAAGCGTATGTTTGTCCTGCTGTATGTTTTGCCTTAAGCGTCTGGTATCAGTTGCTGTTGTAAAAGGGATACTTTGCTATTGCATTTGAAGCTTTTTACTGCTTTTGCTTTAGTTTCCCTCAAAGCACCTGGAGACAGAGTCATTCTTTATGGTTGTTTATTGTCTTGCAAAAATTGGCTGAAATTTTATTTCAGGTACCCATCATGGTAATTAAGACATATGGTATAAACATATAGGTAGGATTACAGTTGGATCAGATAGTGATTTATTCACAATTTAGTTTAACCTTCTGTAACATTATTCCAAATTAGCTTGCTTGAACAAGAGTATGTCTTAAAAATAATAACTAAATCTTGATTAATGTTTCCGATGATAGCAAATTCATGGAAACTTTGTATGTTGCTTAGATAATAGCTACTTTTGTTGTTAACGATGGCCCCTCATTTGTAGTCTGACTTGGAGCAGGTTTAGCTTCCAGCATAGGCTTCTGTATGTTATGCCATTACCTTTTGTAATGCTGGTCTCTTTTTCTTTAGATATTTACCCATTGCAGTCCTTTAACCTCTTTAGCTTCAGAAAGAATGACTAAATTCCTCCTATTCCTCACTAGAGGGCATTTTTTCCAATGCTTTATTCGTTTTGATGTGTCTCTGTCATTCTGTCCAACTTCTCATCCTGCTTGAAGAATGGTTACCAGATTCAGGTAACATAGAGGTGATTTAACTTCCTTACTCTCTCAGAGTTTCCCTGGCTTTTTATGAAGTTCAGTGTCTTTATTAGATGCAGCTTCCCATGGAAAGCCCAACCTGGGCTGATTTTTCTCCATGATTTCCAAGTCCTCTTCATAGCTGCTACTGTTTCCGACTTGTATATATGCTTAATGTTCTTGGGTTTAAACTTACATCTATATTTTTTATGGTGATGCTAGTGAGTGATTTAGATTGCTCAGATTATCAGCCTGCTTTTTGCATTATTTCCCACATGCCATCATGACATCTGAACAATGATTTCTGTCTTTTCCAGGTCACCATTAAAAAAATTGTCTAGGGTAAAGAAGTAAACTGTATGGTGTTCCTTAAGAAACACTTCAGTTCGGTTCTGTTCATTACCCTTTTGCCAGTACATACTGAGATGTGTCATTTAAAATATTTCAATTCAGTTAATCTGTTGCATGTTTTTACGAAATCAAATGTCTCATGGAAGTCTTTCATCAAAACTGTTATTTTTATCAACTAAACTTATAGTGTCACTTAAAAAGCCATCAAGATAATTGATAAGGTTTTTTTTATTAATTACAGTTGATGTGTATTATTATCTTACAGACTTTTAAACCGGCATTAATCAAAGTTTGGGTTAGCTGTTCTGTTATAGAACCCAAAGCAGATGTCAGGCTGACAGACTATTTAATGCTTTAAACCATGGACTCACAGTCAGTTTTCTTTTTCATCTTAGTTCTTTGAAACTTCCTTAGCTTCACTGAAATCAGAGTTAATAGACAAGGAGCAATAATATTGCTGGCCAATCCTTTTAGGCCTTTTTAATGCAAGGTATTCATGTTCAGGTACTTTAAAAGATGGTAGCATTGTTGGGCAGTGTATTTCTGTTCTCAGAGCAGGCTAACAAATTGCCCCTCCTCTACAATACTAGTGAGGTAATTTATTAGCTTTCTTTTTTACTTTTTAGGTTTTGTGCAGATTACTTAGCCCCAGTGCAATCTGAAATTTCATATTTAGGGGTGGGGAAAAACAAAGCTTTAATGAAAAAACAGGGCTTGAAAAGGGTTTGAGAATAGGTGTAGTAAAAATAAAGACCAAGACAGTGTGGAGAACAAAGCAAAATGTTTTGGCGTCCATAATATTGTAGAATGAGCGGAGTTTTACATGAAAGTGGATTGCCGGAGTTGTAACAAGCTCAGTTTTTCTGCAACAGTCAAAGCAATCTGCTGCAGAGTGGCGTGCAGCCACCTGGAATGATGGCGACGGAACGGCCTTGTAATGACCTGATGGCAAAAGGACACCACACGGAGACTTGTGTCCCCGCCTCGCTGGGTACCCTTCAAGCACAGATAAAAACACTGTATTATTAGCTGTTGTGTACCAAGGCAATACTTAATAGGAAACATGGTGTTTGTTGTTTGTTCGCCACATGTAGACAGCAGTTTCTGCCCATTTCATTCCTGAGTGCTGTAATCAGTGCTTTGTAGTTAAGAATGTTGCTCTCTTAAGTTTCAGCTCTATTGTTTCAGGCTGTTTGGTGACTCAGGCAAATGCAATTCCGTTAGTCTGTGAAGTCTGAAAGTCGTTTTTGCATTTGGTAAAAAAGGAAAAATAAAGGAAAAGACAACTTCCCCCCTCTCAATAGTTACCACTTTCATAAAAACAGCAGGTACTGCAACTGTCTAAATTCAGTCCTAATGATTGATAGATGGGTTTTATTTCAGATGTGTCAAAGCTGTTTCCTTTTTTTGAATGATTCTTTATTAATAGACTGATTAGCTCTCTTAGATGTTTTCATTAAAAATATTTGTATCAACAACTGTTTTGCAGAACATAAGAGTATTTTCTAAGTTATTGTGGACTATATTTTGTTCCTTCTCTTCCTCTTTGTTATTTAAAAAAGATATTTCATAGCACAACATTTAACAACATAGCACAACATTTTTTTTTTTTTTTCTCAAGGTAGTCAGGTATATTCCTTGAAAGTGACTCAGTATAAACCTCTAGTGAGGTCACAACACAGAAGCAAAATCACTGCCATTTACTGGGCTGGTAAGGTAGTTTACCCTGTAACTTGTGTTCTGAAGACTAATATGAATCAATTACAGTTCCAAAAAAAAAACCCCACAAACTATGGCAGAGTTCAATAATGTGTTCCACTTATAACACTGAGTAAAAGATAAATAAGATCTGTTTTAAGGGGACTTCTATGCATTTCATTTTAGCAAGTTCATGCTAATTTTAAAGAATAACTTGTGCTAAGTTGTAATAAATTGTATTACGCAATCTCCCCTTGACTTGTCGTTGGTTTGAAAGTAACGTTCACAATAAGTGAGAATCTCAAATGGAGAATAATATGATCTGTTCCATGAAACGAACACAGGAGTGAGCACTGTCAGCGTGCTTTCATATCTACCTTCATCATTATTCTTTCATACTCATATTTTAGTATTGCTATAAGCAACCTCTTCATTTTGCATTCATTGTTTCTAGCACAGTTTAAATACAGAGTAAGAGAGGTCACCTCCTTCCTCCAGGTGCTATAGTCCAACAGAAACATGAACAAGTGGTTGACCAGTGAATTCTGACTGCATGATCAGCATTTGCTTCCTAGTTTATTTGGAAGTCCGCTCTGGGCCCCCTTCCACACTGACAGCGCACTAGCAGTATGGTGCACTGCTCGTGAGCCTGTGAAACGGCATTCCACCAGGTCAAGTGGTCTGGGGCTGGCTGAGGAGAGCTATCATTTCATGTCATATGAGGTGTTTTTCCGTTTTCCCTCCATCACGCCCCAGGCAGCACGGCCCCGGAGCCTGACTGCCCAGGCCACCGGCCGCAGGCGCCGGGATGGAGATGCTCGCCGGGCGCTTGCCCTGCTCTCGGGGCGGGTACAGCCAGGGCACGGCCGGGGCCAGGAGCTGCTGACTGTTCTGTAGGACGGAGACATGGCGGACCTTCTAATAGGAAAAAATCAGCCCAAAGTGTAAAGAGAACAATTGTCTGGTTTATTGCTTTTTCTTTTTGGTTATCCAGCTCCAATGCCCTTTTTAACCTGATTCTTTGAATGATGTTGTTCCACTTACAAAACTGGAGTGTTTTTACTGTCTCCTATTTATTCTTTCAGGATTTGTGGATTTAACACTCCATGATCAGGTCCATCTACTGGAATGTGCCTGGTTAGAGATACTGATGATTGGCTTAGTCTGGCGCTCCATGGAACACCCAGGAAAGCTTTTATTTGCACCTAACCTATTACTGGACAGGTCAGTCTGCATGTTGCTGTAAATTATTTAACTTATTTATATTGCAATCAGATTAATTTTTAGCTTGTAGTCATCTCACTGATACTACAATTTGACAGTACTTCGTAAGTTAAGCAGGGTTATAGCAGGTGAGGCTGGAAGAGGAACTCTCTAAAACCTAGAAATGCTCTGGAATGTGATGCTGGTCATTTATTGGAGAGGTAACAGATCTGAAATTCATCTGCTGCTGGAAGCGCTTTCTTTCAAAGGCAGCAGAAAATCTGTCCTATAATCTGTACTGTTTGTTACACAACTAAATTAAATTAAAATTAAATACTGAAACCTAATCAATTTAATTCAGATAGATAATTATTTCTGATTACCTAAAATCCTCCTATTTATTCTTGGTTAGAATGGGTTTATCCAAGCAGCCAGCCAAAATTTTGGAAGAAAATCCTGGAAGACTCTCAATTGCAATCTTATTTATTTGTAGAGAACACATGAAGCTTTTGGTTTTTTTTTCCTCCTGAAAACTGGAGTCAAATGTGTAAAACACACACCTGCTTGCTGCCCTAAGCCTTTTTTAGCCAGTATTGCGGATAAGCTGTAGGTGTTTCTAAGTGAGAGAGAAAAATACGCATCTCTGCCATACAACAATAGCTGGGATTTTAGCTGGCAGTCTTCACAAATAAAAGCAGGAAGATTAATAGATTTTTAACATATATTCTAGAGTTCTTTTTTTTTCCTAGTCATGAAAAATTTCGGC